TTGCTCAGTATTTCTAGAAGAGCTACAGGTGAAGTTACCTACTGATCTATATAAAAACATATATTGTGTTAACTTACAAGATAATGAAATTATCATTTCGAATTATCATTTCGAATGAACTTAAGTTATTGGTAGTAGTTTTCTAGTGATCATAAACCTTAAATTATTTAAGAATCATTCTATACTAAACCATATTTCAAATACCATCAGCTTGACACAGGTTATGATAATGATCTGAGTGGGTGAGTAGACACGATTTATTCCGTGAAATCTAGTTACTATTTTATGGAAATTTTATTAGATGTGATACTAATCGAGTCAATGATATACATGTTATATCATTTGTAAAGAATCCAAAATATCTGTTTAATATAGGACACTTAAAATTGCAATATTTTCTTAGTAAGTGGTTAAGGAAATAGCCAGCATTGAAACATAAAATTAGTAATATAGCAGAGTGAAAATAAATATACTTTACGATATTAATTGCAACATTCATTAAAAAATCGCAGCTATTTGATAAGCATGTATTCACCAAATGTGATGAATAATACAAATCTCTCATGTTAGTAAAATGTTTATTTTTCAATAAACTGTCCGAAAACATGGACTGTGTAGACGCCCAACTTCGTGACCAACAGGCAGGATTCCGTAAGGATAGATCGTGTACAGACCAAATCGCAACTCCACGGATCATTGTGGAACAATCAATTGAATGGAATTCATCACTCTACATCAACTTCATTGACTACGAAAAGGCATTTGACAGCGTGGACAGAACAACACTATGGAAACTTCTTCGACACTACGGCGTGCCTCAGAAGATAGTCAATATCATACAGAGTTCATATGATGGATTACACTGCAAAATCGTGCATGGAGGACAGTTGACAAAGTCGTTCGAAGTGAAGACCGGTGTTAGGCAAGGTTGCCTACACTCACCCTTTCTCTTTCTCCTGGTGATCGACTGGATCATGAAGACGTCAACGTCTGAAGGGAAGCGCGGGATACAATGGACATCTAAGATGCAGTTGGATGATCTAGACTTCGCAGACGATCTGGCCCTTCTATCCCAAACGCAACAACAGATGCAGGAGAAGACGAACAGTGTGGCAGCAGCCTCAGCAGCAATAGGTCTCAATATACACAAAGGGAAAAGCAGGATTCTCGCAAAATACTTCAGATCCATTGGCCGGACACTATTAGCAACAACGTACTGTGGGAGAGAACAAACCAGATCCCAGTGGAGAAAGAAATCAGGAAGAAGCGCTGGAAGTGGATAGGACACACATTGAGGAAAGCACTCAACTGCGTCAAAAGACAAGCCCTCACTTGAGATCCTCAAGGCCAAAGGAAAAGAGGAAGATCAAAGAACACATTACGCCGAGAAATGGAGATAGACATGAGAAAAATGAACAAGAATTGGATGGAACTAGAAAAGAAGGCCCATTACAGAGTGGGTTGGAGAATGCTGGTCGGTGGCCTATGCTCCATTGGGAGTAACAGGCGTAAGTAAGTAAGTCTGAAAACATATAAAGCGGAATAAATAGCTGCACGTTAGAAAGAAAACATGTACTGAAAACGAACTTAGAACAGCCTATAAACAATCCTACTCATATATACGTAAGGATATCACAAAATCTGGTCATGGGTTTAACTTCAGGTTTGAAGATGAGGGCTCAATATTTAGACAATGATAAGTAAATCAATAGGTCTTGGCTTAACAGTTCGACACCTAAAGAGATGGTGCTTGCACACTGCTAATGAGCAACATACTAGGACGAAATAATTATCCAGTGTTTTCTGATATTTCATGGTTCTTTCACCAATTATCGTTAGTTATGAAATTAATTTGTTAAAATTTAGGTTATACAACATCTTTTTATCGTTTCCAAATGGAACACTGAACAGTTTAAATGTTTTTACATCTTTCAACATTAATTTGTTAATTGCAATTTCTTTATACTTTTTTTCAAAACAGAAATGAACGTTTTCTTGTTTTGGATTATTGTGACCGTGCATCAGTACAACCTTTGGTTCAGCGTAGTGGTGATCCGTTTAATTCTGGTACAAATTTACTTAAGAATCCTAAGAATTCTATTTCTGCCGAACCCCTTTGTCACATTGATCCTTCGAATGATGATTTAAAAGTTGTTCCGCAGAAATTTAAACGGTTGCTTTCACCAGAATTTGAAGATGATGTGAATAATATCAAAACTAAAACTAAAACGAAACGTCATAGACATTTTAAAACTACAGTTGATTTTAAAAATTTGTCCGATTCAAATAATAATGATAACAAAGATGAGACAAATATAATCCTTAGTCATAATGAAACAAGTGAATCGAATAAAGAATGCTCCAGTTTGAATGATAATAATCATATGAATAACTTGGCGAAGATCTCTACTCATGATACTAATACTACAACCAAAGCAGCAAACTCTCTTATTGCCAATAGTCTTAACACAAGCAAAACAACTAAACTATCCAGATCTGGAAGCAGTTTAAGTGGTTATCAATTACGTTTCAATCAAGAAAAAAATAGACATTTAAAATCAAGTATATTTAATACATCACAGCCAAGTACACCGGTTAATTGTAAAACAAACATTATTCACTTAAAACTGCTTGGTAGTCATAATGGGACTTGTATTGAACTAACCCTTTCAACTAATGACAAGTAAGTTGACTGAAATATATTTGAAAATAGTTCACACCATGAATTATGTTTATCGGTTTCGTCTTCGTATGGGATCACATAGAATAACATAATCATAAATAAAAGTGTAAAATACTTCTAAGCTATTCATAGAAAGTCTATTGATATGAAATGTAGACTTTTAATAAGAAATGCTACCTAAAATGGTAGGTTGTTAATATACACTGGTTTATACAAAACAGATTATAGCACTGTATTTTAACAAATAAAAGATAATTCTTACTTTTCACAAAGAAAACAATTCTATTCATACGAAGATTATAAATATAATGAAATTCATTCAGTTTCTTATTTGAATTAGATCAACCGAAATGAGCCCATAATAAACACTTCATCTACTTCCATTTACATAAGTTTTACTGGGTCGTAAGAATATCAGATAACATATGACTTTTTGATTGCAAAGCATAATTACTTAGCAAAGATACAAGTATTATATATATATTGAATAAATTAAAATTTGGAAATTGTTTAATGATGAACTGTTCAAAAGTTCAAAAATTATGTTCATTTAATACAGTAGTTAGAATCAAGTTGAAGTGAAGAAACTTTTAACTCATCGTTCAACGATCTATGGAACTATAATTTATGAATAACCCTTTTGAGTTATAAATAAGAACTTTCGTCTAAATTTGAACGAATAGTTTCACAATATTTGGGTGCCGAGTTGTGATTAAATCACCTTGACAATGTTCACCTACTTGCTATGGTTATTAATCGGTATGAGGAATTATGATTTGTATTCACAATTGAATGTTAGAGTAAGAAATTGGGATTATGGTTTTTATCACCAATCAACATCAGCTATAATACCAAAATGATATTCAACTATATGAGTGAATGAATTTCACTCAAACATTCAATACCTACTCTCTTAATTCTGAGTGGTTTGTCCATAAATTATAGTCTTGAATGATTGCCTACAGATAATATTTTCAGTTAAATTGAATTCTCATTGATACATTCCTGTTGTTAGTTCTTTTATATTCAAGCGTAACCCAAAATGATATGATTTGTAACTGATTAACTCAATTGAAATTACTAATATTTTCTTTCAAAAATTTCATTAAAACATAAGATGCCAAGTATTACCCTGTATTTTGATTTTTCTTTTTCACTTTCAGTAAAGAATTCGAAAGTTGGTGTAAAGCGTTTTCCGTGTGAAATAATCATTTTTACTAATGTATCAATAAATATTGACAAAATTTACAAACGGTAAAGCAATATATTGTTTACTCTTAGCAAGGTACTTTCGATTACTTAATATCTCAGCTTTACCAATGATATAATTTTTTGATTGAAATAATGAGTCGATCAATGTTAGACCACCATTGAAAGCCTTGAAGCATTGTACGGTCTTCTAGTCCTAGTATAGGACTCCTCATCAGTGCGCATCGACAATTCCACATACGGGATTCAGACCTAGGACCTTCAGTCTCACGCGCAAACGCCTAACCTCTAGATCACTGGGCCAGTATTCGACGTTATTAGTATCCAACTAATCCGTGTTGGGTTTGAGGCAGTTAACCATCGAAGACAACGGAAAATAGTCATGCGACTTCGTCGATTGGTCGAATTTAGATTTTAACACAGTTGGATGCCGGTTCAGTGGTCCAGGGGTTAAGCATTCGCATGTGAGACCGATGAACATGGGTTTGAATCCTGTGTCGGTAATCGTGGGTGCGCACTACTGTGGAGTCCCATACTAGGACGACAGAACCGACCAGTTTTTCCACATACATAATTCCCAAAAAAACTGATCATATATTCTCATATAGCTCGATGATTTATATCTCATTAAAAATAAGCATTCAAGAGAATCTATTCATATGTCTTCTAAAAGAACATCACAGACTCAAAATGCCATATGATCCATAATATGTAATAGATTGGAAACACTTAACCGTAGATTCTTTCTTTGACATTATTTACACGATCCAGTAAAATTAGTGAAGTTCTAGTTTAATATTATCTTTTGTAGCAAAAAATCTACCTAACTATATATAAATAAAAAGCTATACATATAAAATATGTTTTAGATACTACCCGTTATCAGATATATGTGTAAATATGCAAAGATTTGATAACACACTAATATATCAGGCCATTTTCTAATTTGAAGACAACTATCTATTATTAAAGATATACCCATTTAGTGCTTAATACACTTCATAAAAAAGTGGGTTGTTTCATATTGGTAGACAATAATAGAATTTTAAGATAACTTATCACCATATTCTAGTGTATCAGTTATTGCATATCAGAGTAAATAAATTACTTAGAATGACGTATAAACCATTGAATATGAATATAACTTTTTGGTCATTCATATTTACTAAATACTCAATATCAATAGTGATATAAAGCTTAAAGTTGTACGTTTGGTTTTAGAACAAGTCAAGGAAATAGGTTCTCTGATATAGTGAAGCATATGATGCATTCGATTAATTGTATAAATATGAATGTGTTTTTGACTTTCATCCAAACAATGATTATAAGTAGTTTGAATATTTTAAGGTTATTAGTCAATGCTTTCGCTATGGAAACTCACTCGTTTGTAAATATGTGAGCTTATATTTGGATTTTATAAATAGTTTAGTATAGTTTTCACAAGATTTGTATGATGATTCATTAAAAGATCAAATAAATGATCCTGTGGAACGATAATCTATGATCTATGTTCATGGTTCTTTAATGTATTTATTCAACACAATAGTATTTATTATTACGTTCAGTGTTAGTAAAATGAATTGATTGAAGGTATACTTTGATCAAAACGGAACATATTAAATCTTCAGAAGGAACATGTTATGAATAGAATGATGTTTTATACTTTATCATTTTCATTACAACAATCATTTTTGAACTAAATCTAAGTAATTTTAGCACAATGTAATGATGACCTATACAAAGCTATTCAGATGGTGAATATTGCTTGGTATTTATTTATTTATTTATTTCAACAAATAAATATTGCTACAAGAAAGCACCAAATATATATGCGCCACACCATATTTGTGTGTGTGTGGACTGTGATACTGCCCGGGTGCTCAGACCGAAGCAGTTGGTATTCTTAGGGGGCCACACCGCGAGCCTTTGACCTAAAGGTCTGACCCACAAGGCAGTGGAGCATCGTGAGGAAATGCATTCCCATGGTGCCCGGTGACCAACGATTGGTTCGTACGCCATTTGTATTCTCAGTATAATGGAGCCCATGTGCACCATTGGTTTGGGATCCGGTTAAAGCGCCGGACATTCGCCTTTCGTCCTCTCATTTTCGTAAACAACACCCCCGCCACGAAAAGGTAGTGAGTAGGACTTCCCTGGCAGAGGCTGTATACGCGTGGCCGTGTGAGAGCATTTCGAGCGGGAGGGCGGGCCCACCCCACTCTCGGCCGTACCAGGGCATTTGAGGGCATTTGGTATGTTGTCATCAATGTAGAGCAAAAACCAAACAATAAGTTCATTATCAGAATGGGTTTTGTGGAGATTTTAGAAATTTCACGGATTGAAATCATGAGTCAGTTGAAGCTAGACCGGCTCAGTGGTCTAGTGGTTAAGTGCTCGCGCGCGAAGCCAGTAGGTCCTGGGTTCGAGCCCCGCGTGGTGCGGGATCGTGGATGCGCACTGCTGAGGAGTCCCATACTAGGACGAAACGGCCGTCCAGTGCTTCCAGGTTCTCAATTGTGGTCTAGCTTCAACTGACTCATGATTTCATTCTGTGAAATAAGTCTATTAATTGTTCTTCGATATCTAGTCAATTTAATACAGTTTTACACTGAATAGTTTATGTTCTACCATGAAAATTTTATCAGAGATTAAAATTAACTACGAATAAATTAAACAGTAAAGTACAATGTAGAGATAAATATTGTCAAAGCCTCTATTTTACTCATAATAAGCTAACTCTTGATCCATTTAAACAATAAGTAACAAAGAGTAGGATGTATTCACAACGTAGACAATAATTCAATGATTTAATATTAAATTCTGTCAGTCAAAATCTTAATATTGAACAACGCGCTTGGATTATGATGTCTGTAACAAAAAAATATTTCATTGTCGAGAAATACTTCAAACAAAAGTGAGAACAGGGTAAATATTTACCCATTATAATATTTGAATACATTTTGTCTTTTCAAGTGACCGTTATGAATTAGAGACCTCCTCTGATATTTTATGTTGTTCATTTTGTATTTGTTTATTAGTATCTCCCGCATTGATGTTTACGCCTGCAATTGATCAATATCTTATTGACATATGTGCATCCTGTACGGATTCACTCGATATTGCCTTAATTCACAAGTATTATAAACAGAGATGGATTATGTCTATGAATAGAATACAGGACCAACGTTTCATCCCATTTGGGATTCGTCAGTTGGATGTACTTGCATCTCAGAGTTAATGTTCACTCTGAGACTCGAACCTAGTACCATTCAGTTCAAACACTATCACTTTATCCACTTAGCTACTGAGTCCTGATAGGATGAGATGCACTTCCTGTATTCCATATCTAGTCACTATCTATCTTTTCCTATAATTCTATTCAATTGCATTCATTTTCATGTAATCATTTATTAATAAAATATATTTTTTTCTAGGTTTGAATAATTGAATTTCAACACTTACAATCCTCTTTCATCAATGATCATAAATATACATTGAACAAATATTTAAATTGTCCCACTGTATCCATCATGTGTTTATAATTCCTTCTTTTTTTTGTTCTTCCAATTTCATCACTATTGCAATAGTGTAAAACATATTTGTCCCATTTGTTTCATTCAAGAAAATCTATATAGTGTGTTAGCAATTAAATGAATTATAATGTAATTGGAGATTAGAGAACAAAAACAGCATTGTACATGATAGTATTCATATTCATATTCATATTATTATTATTACTACTATTTGTTCTCATTTTTCTATTGTTTTTATCTACTGAGTACAGACAATTGAATTGATTGTATCATTCATTATTTATCATTATCACAATTATTATTATTATAATCATCAATCAGTAATCAATAATATTAGGAATTATTTCATAAAATGTTGATTAAGCTCATACTACTTACATAAATAATGTTGATAATGATGATTTTTATGTTTATACATATGAATCTTTTACATTTACAGTAATAAATATTCAGTAGAAAATAATATTGACTTAATGTTAAATTGTATTTTCTATGGTTTATTTAAGAAAGATAGAAAACAATAACGATTCTTTGTCTTGTACAAACTTCATTTGAAAGAAAAAGAAAAAAAGGAAGAAAGAAAGAAAGAAAGAAAGAAGGACAACGTTTAGTTGGTTAATCTGATAGTACTGGATTAGTAATTTTTCTTTTCTTTTCTTTTTTTCTCTTCATTTTCAATATTTATATTGTAATACTTGGTTAAAATAGTAAACTAAACCACTTTCGAAACAGGATCATTATTCATATGTTGGTACATTAAGTTCAATATTAGAATTGTTCAATTTCAAATAAGCTTCATTCAATTAGAGTCCTACAATTTATATGTATATTGTAATCAATTTTGTATTATTTAGTGTTAAAATAGAAATGATTGTAATACTTGACAGTTTTCTGGTGTGTTTTTTTTTAAAAAATTTTTTTCTCCTTTCATTCTTTACGATGTTGCATGTGTTCAGTCTTTACATTTTATCCCTTTACATTTTGTTCTTGTTGTTGTTGTTATTGTTGTTCATTTAACATTACTTACTCTCTTTAATTATCTTTATTTGAATTCTATCATGAGTATTATTTGTATTTTAATAATGGTAAATGACGTTACTTCATTTTATAATCATATACCTATATATACATTAATATTTTGTAACAAAAATAGAATAATAATGATCATAATGATTATAGAAAATAATATAAACGATTGTTTTCTTTTTAATGTCTTTATTTCTAATGAAAATCGTGTTGAAAGTAGATATTAATAGTGTTATTTAGAAGGAAAATAAAAACATTTTCCTATTGAACGATTCAGATCCGAAAGAGATAGAGAGGAACTGTATCAAAATAATGAACATACAATGTATATAAAGGTATAATCGCAATTGATTGATCACTCAATGTTGATCAATGTCATGTGTGTCAAGTCTTTCTTAGTGCAGATTGAATGCTATCGACCAAGTTGAAATGTGA